GGGGGGCGTAATGCGCGGCACTGACCAATCGCTGGCAGCGGGAGCGTACACGTGCCGGGACTGGCCGGGGAATCCGAGAGGTGGCCACTGGTTGTCTACCGCTGCTAAAACACAGGCATAGTGGGATCAAGAGTAGAGGATCCAAGAGGGGAAAGCACTGGCTCCGGGCTTGCACTGGCTGCTCTATCGCTCTCCTGTGTCCTTCTGTGCCCGCCGCGATGTGGGCCGCCTTGAGGTTAACTCTGCGGCCGTACGCCCGTGCAGCTGCCCCTGGGCTGCGCGCCTATCATGGGGACTCGGTGGCCACGCTGGGCACCCAGCCGGACTCAGGCTCCGCCATCTATCAGGTAAGCTAGGTGAGCGCCCCAGCAACCTGGACCACGAATCCCCGCCCAGAGAACACTTCCTCTGCCAGGGACGGATTGGACTAGGCGCTGTCGGCAGCTAGCAAGCATGAAGAGGGTGGGGCCACTTTAACAGCTGCTGTTCTTTTCTCTGGACCAGGATGGTGATTCTGGGACGCACTAGGGTGTCGTGAAGTTTGGAAAAGAAAATAATTCCAAGTCAGATACGTTTTAGTTCACTTGTAGAGCTGGTCTTGAACTTTGTATCTCCTTGAAATCAGTCATTCTCAAGATCTGGCTAAGTATTGTCACTTGGGAAGCTTGTTGAATATACCCTAGACCTTTTCAGTCTCTAAGGTGGGATTCTGATATCAGCGTTGCTGATTAAATCCTCGGAGTTTGAGGGCAGCAGCTTTGGGAACCACTGCCCCTGCACAGCTAACCTTGGGTCGTATTCTCAGACTTTAGTGAAATAGTTGCTTATAGTAACGGAAATGACTTATACCACAGTACCTTTGAATGGCCTTTCTTGAAATTGGGAAAATACACAAGGTCAAATAACTCACAGCTAGGGAAGTCTTAGAACTGGAATATTTCAGTCTGTTCCGTGCTTGCTGAACTGTTACAGATGACATTTAAATTGTGCAGATGACTTTCAGAGAAGACATTTTTTTAAAAAATTGTTATTTGGGTGAAAGTTTACAGACCAAATTCACTTTCCATACAGCAGTTCATACACACTTTGTCTCATAACATTGACTACAATTTCCCACAATGCAACAGCTCCCCTCCCACTTCCTCCCGATAGTTACTCAGGGCCCTGTGTCCTTCCCTCCCATACACTCTTGCCCTCCCCACCAGCTGTCTCCCTGTACATACACAGGCCTTCTTTCTCCCATGATTGCACTCTCCAAGGCATGTATCTACCTCAGGTAAATGTTCACCTCATATTCCTGTCATTTGTTTGGCTGGAAGCCACAGGTGTGGGTTCAATTCCAGACCTGAAGGGCAGCTAGGGGCCATAGTCTCAGTGGTTCCGTCAGGCTGTATTAGACCC